TTTTTTGTTTTGTTTTCTGCATACTTATTTTCTTTTGTTTTTTGCTTTATTTTTTATCGCTTTTTGCTTTTAGTTTTAGAAAAATTATAAACTTTCTGTTAGTGCCATTAGTTTTCAAATTTGAAAACACTTTTTTAGTTTTTTTGTTTTCTTTGTTGCTTTATTTATTTTATTTTGTTTCTACTTACAACAAAATACTTATTGTTGCTATTTTTAACTTTTTCCAGTTTTTTGTTTTGTTTTCTGTATTATTTATTTTCTTTTGTCTTTTGCTTTATTTTTTAATTCTTTTTGCTTTTAGGTTAGTAAAATTATAAACTTTCTGTTAGTGCCATTAGTTTTCAAATTTGAATAGTTAAAATTTGAATTCTTTGAAATTTGTGTGAATCACAAGTTTGTGATTAACTTTACTGTCATCCGCGCTGTGATTGCTGCTCTGCTCCCCGAAAGGATTAATGCCATCCACGCTTAAAGCAAACCATACGTTCCTTGGGTCCTTTGCAAACTCATCCCAGTACTTTCTCTCGATTTTTCTCCACTGCGACCCGTCAGCGGGTGCTCTCAACTTCCCGTCTTTCTTACGGTCCTCACTGTGCCATCGCATCGACTTGGCATGCTCTCCGTTTCTGAACAGACGTTTCAACCGTGGTATTATAGGAGCATACCACATCACCTTCGCAGGAACCCTCTTCTTGGGGGGCTTGCCGTGAACATCACCAGGGTCATCTCATCTGAACTTATACCGCAATGCACCGCATACCGGGCATGCGTTCAGATCCTTGTATGCGCCGGGGTAGAGGATGCAGTCATTAGGGCATGCATGTATCTTCTCCACCTCCAATCCTAGAGGGCATACGACCTTCTTTGTTGCGTATGTACTGTTGGGCAATTTGTTATCCTTTGGAAGCTTCTTCTTCAATATTTTCAGTAGCTTCTTAAATCCTTTGTCAGGCACAGCATTCTCTGCCTTCCACTTCAGCAATTCCAGTACGGTACCGAGCTTTGTGTTGTCATCTTCGCAATTGGGGTACAACCCTTTTTTGTGATCCTCTAACATGCGATCGAACTTCAGCTTCTCCTTTTGACTTTCGCATTGCGTCCTTGCATCGACAATGACCCGGCGGAGATCATCATCATCGGGCACATCGTCTGGTTCCTCTTGATCTTCAGCAGCTTCACCCGTTGCAGCATCATTGGGCACATCTTCTGGTTCCTCTTGATCTTCACCAGCTCCCCCCATTGCAGCATCACCGTATTTAGGGGGCACATAGTTGTCATCGTACTCTTCTTCTTCGCCGTCTTCCATCATAACCCCTATTTCTCCGTGCCTCGTCCAAACATTATAGTGTGGCATGAAACCCTTGTAAAGCAGGTGGGTGTGAAGGATTTTTCGGTTAGAGTAAGACATCGTATTCCCACATTTAGTGCATGGACAACACATAAAACCATTCTGCTTGTTTGCCTCGGCCGCATCGAGAAACTCATGCACGCCCTTAATGTACTCGGAGGTGTGTCTGTCACCGTACATCCATTGTCGGTTCATCTGCATGCATTATATATAATTAAGTGTCCAAATTAATAGAAGTTCATCATCACATTAAAACCAAAGTACATATATAGTTCTCATCTAACAACATATAGCTCTCCAGAGCATCTAATTAGTTAAACCATACATTGAAACTATGTAAAACATTTCAATGCGAAAACAAATGCGATCATAATCGCAACCAAGGTAACAATTGATCCAACGGCATAATGATACCAAGCCTCGGTATGAATGGCATATTTTCTAATCTTTCTAATCTTCAAGCGCATTGCATCCATCTTGATCTTGTGATCATCGAGACATCCGCAACATGCAACTCCAATATCATCTTCTCCTCATTTATTTATTTTATTTTTTTCCTTCAAGAAATTGTTTTCTTCTTCAACTAAATTTAACCTCTCGACAATAGGGTCGGTTGGAATTTCCGGTTCACATACATCCTAGATAAATAAAATCTATGTCACGTTGGTCGGTATAATTTTCATAAACAATAAATGAACCAATAGTTATAAAGATAATATATATACCACATCCGAATCATAGACAGGACGAGGGCCGACGGGGCGGATACCAAAACCATCGCACTATATAAGATGCAATAATAAAAGTAAGAAAATAATACAAGTATCTATGTAAACATACAAGTAAGAATATATTTTTCCTTTCAGAAAGAAGATAAGAACAAGAGGCTCACCACAGTGGTGCCGGCGATGAGCTCGGCGCGGGTGATCGACGGCGGTGAAGACGGGGACGGGGCGTGACGGACCGCTAAACCTAGACAAATATTGAGGAAAATGGAGCTTGGAGAGGAGAAAGCTTAAGTGGTGTGGCTCGGGCATTCCATCAAACACCTTGTCTGCATAGGAGGTGAGCTAGAGCACCACCAAGCCCTCTCCCCCTCGGCCAGAAAAAACAGAGCAGTGTGCTCTGCTCTTGCGCGAGGGGGTATATATAGGCACCACCATTGGTCCCGGTTGGTGGCATGAACCAGGACTAAAGGGGGGCCTTTGGTCCCGGTTCATGCCACCAACCAGGGCCAATGGTGGTGGGCCAGGAGCGAGGCCCATTGGTCCCGGTTCGTCCCACCAACCGGGACCAAAGGTCCAGATGAACCGGGGCCAATGGCCCACGTGGCCCGGCCGGCCCCCTGGGCTCATGAACCGGGTCCAATGCCCCCATTGGTCCCGGTTCTGGACTGAACCGGGACTAATGGGCTGACCCGGCCTGGACCTTTGCCCCCTTTTCTACTAGTGTGGCCAAATACCAGTTGAGGTTCTTCTGGGCTGGCGAGGGCGACAAGCAGAAGTACCATATGGTGAGCTGGCCCGACATCTGCAAGCCCAAAGACCAGGGGGGCCTTGGGATCCTGTCTTCTCGACGCATGAACATTGCCCTCCTGACCCGATGGTTGTGGCATATTGCCAACGGGGAGGGAGGCCTCTGGCTCACCATCATCTGTAATAAGTACCTCCGTGGCCAACCTCTTGCCTTTTGCCAACGTATTCCTAGTTCTGGCAGTCCCTGATCCAGCTTCTGCCCGTACTACGCATCGGCACATCCATCTCAGTTGGCTCCGGAGCCTCGACCTTGTTTTGGTTCGACCGCTGGCTAGGGGACGCCCCCCTGGCGGCGCGTTTCCCAGAACTTTTTGCCATTGCGGCTGACCCTCGGGTCTCTGTCGAGACGGCCCTTATTGACTTAGGGCGTCTCGCCTTCCGGCGCCCCTTTGGCCCCCTTGAGGTGGCCGCCTGGGATTCCCTCCTCCAAGACATCGCACTTTTACCGATGGACGTGGCGGAGGACCGGGATGCTCTGTCCTAGCGCCTTGAGCCCTCTAGACGTTTCTCCACGAAGTCCTTGTACGGCGCCATTGCGCCCTCGACGGCCCCGGAGCCATTTAGCCTAATCTGGGACATCCGCCTCCCGCTGAAGATCAGGATCTTCCTGTGGCAATGGATCCGTGGATGCCTCCTCTCTGGGGTTGAGGTCCTCAAGCGTAATGGCCCGGGTGATGGGATGTGCCCCATCTGTGGCACGATTGAGGATGCTAACCACATCTTTTTCTTGTGCCACTCTGCCCAGTTCCTTTGGGCCTGCTTCTGCGAAACGGTTGGCGGACAGTGGTGTAATACCAACTTCCCCGACCTTCTTGTCGAGCTTAACGCCTGCCTTGCTCGCTACCGCCATATTAGATGTCTGTGTGTTGGGGTTCTCGCCTGGACGCTTTGGAACATTTGAAATAAGCTTGTTATTCAGAAGGTGCCCCTCCGTCGTGCGACTGACACAATCTTCAAATTGTGTGGTTACCTGCAGCTTTGGCGGCCGCTTAGCCGCCCCCAGGACCGGGACGTCATCACCGCCCTCCTCTCCGATCTCCGCTCGATGGCGCTCCTCGTGGCTCCCCCGCTGCCACCTCCTCCACCTGAGCCTGACTAGACCGCCTGGCGGCTTTGTGGTTTGTGGCGTGTGTGTTTTGGTGTTAGGGCTTGTTGTGCTGTGCTCTCAACATTGACCATTTCTTGTACTATTTGTCCCTGTGGACCTCCGTGTGTGTATGTGCGTGTTTGTGTGTTGGACTTTGTTGGATACTTGTTGTGCGGTTGGCTTTATAATATAAAGCGGGGCGAAAGCCTTTTTCGGTATACAGGGTTGTGTGTGCAATTTTTATTTACTTTGGCAGATGTTTCTTTTCCGTGAGATAAACATCCGAAAGTGCCTATGTGAGCCCGAGCTCACAGGAGCTCGGAATCTGCACCAATCATTCATCTCGCGATCTGTGCTGCAGGCTGTATATCTCTATGTATATGCTCCTCCTTGTTAATTCCCGAAATATGATATGGCCCACGGATCAGTAAACGCCGTCAGTTAGCTCAGCAGCGGATCAGGCGGACAACGACGGAATGTATCGTCCAGTGATTGATTCTGCTCCAACGGAGCCGTTGAGCCACATCTCCCTCCCGTGTGTTTCGAATTTCAAACAGAATCCTGCCCAGCAGGCTCCAACACATGACACAACAGTTGCCAAACTGCAGTTACGCATGTCCCTCCTTCAGTAAGCAAAATGGTCAGATACTGAAACACACGCCAGCCTGCACTTAATTGAACGCATCTTTACTGTAACTTATTCTCTGAATTTAATTAGGTTGTCCATGCTGGCATAGACATTACGTACTAAACAGACTGAATCAACCATGGTTCAGACACCATAGTAGCCCACTGCAACAACCAAGAATAATATCAACACTCCCAGATAAAATTCAGAAAAATGAGATTATACAATCCTCACAGGAAAAATCCACATATCCGTTACAGTTGTACGAATCCAACTACCTGACTATGGCTAGTTCAAACAGTTTACAGTTCATACCACCCTGATATGAAAGGAATTACAAACGATGAACTACAAGAAGACGTTTCCTGGTTTATGCCCAAAGCCGGTCATGTTTCCAGTTAATTATTTCAACCTAAGCTCTGCTGCCTTGTTACAGTTGTTCCGCCGGTGCCCTTCAACGCCACAGTTCTTGCATCTTGCCGGTTTACGAGGCTGTTTTGGCACATCCCCGCGTTCCGGGCAAGTTGTGCATTTGTGCCCTTGCTGCCTGCAAATGCCACAAAATCTTGTTCTCTTACTTAATCCCTCATATGGTGCTTTCTCCCTACTTGTTGTTGGTCTGCCCAGTTGCTTTCTTTTAATCAGTGGTAATAACTTCGTTAGCAGAGTTGCAGATTCGTTAGCTGAGTTGCTGTCACCATCACCCACTGTGATCTGAGTTCCTCCCCCTGGACATATATCAACTTCAGATTGTATCCTATCCGGATATTTTATATTGTCCGCTAGCCTGTCTTCGAGACCCAGACCATCTCGGATGTCTGTGAACGGCTTCATCTCTGCGGCACAGCGCTTGAACAATGAAATCAGGTGTTCATAAGCTGCCACACTTGAGTCTCCCATCCGCACAAGCTCCATAGCTTGCATGTACATATTGAAATGCCGGAAACTAAATGGGTTTTCTTGAGCATTGTCCCTCCCGTATTGCATCAGGTGTCCCGGCAGGATATCTCCTGCATCTCTGGTCCACCTTTTAACTATGTGCTTCTTTGGTATTTCGGTGACACGAATGAAGTCAAGTACCTACACATTTTTTGGAGACGAATTCACAGAATTCAATTTTAGTGCCGATCCAAACGATGTGAAAATTAGACCAGATAACATATGCACACCATCCTGCCATGTAAATTACTTTTAGGATATGGCTGCACAGCAGACCCATGTGTGCAAACTGACCACACTCACAATCAAATTCTTCACCTCCTTTAATAACTGTGACATTGTATGAAGTTCTGCACCACTTCTCTCTACGTACTGCATCAGTATGTATGGTAACATATCTTTTACCTTTCTCTATCTCCTCCACCTGATATGCACTGCACTCATAAAGGATGTGTCCGAATTGCTCGAACATAGCTCTTGTGTATATTTTCCCGGCATGTCTCTCGGTTGCCATATGCCCATATTTGCTTGCATCAGCGGCCTCCCCTGCAAAAAGCAAACACCAGATTACTTGCAACTGACTGTCTCGGGGTCAACAAAGCTAACATACAGATGGTGCTTACGATTGCTGTCCGCTTCTCCTCATAATTCTCTTCTGATTCCCAGTCAAATATTAAGTTCATGTACTTCCTTACAAAGATATGCATTGGGCTTCCAGGGGGCACATAGTTCTTCAACATGTGGTTTGCACTGTCACTCCATTGTGTGCTGGTCATCTTTGCACAGAATACGCCCTTAAAGTACGGCTTAGCCCATTTGTGCCTTATCTCGTACAGGTTAGTCATGTAGTCGTGGTTCTTCAGGTTGTACTTCTCTATAAGGTATTTCCAACCATCTTCGAACTCATCTATGGTTAACATATGATTCACAACCTTGTGGAATTCAGGATGGAAATCACTCTTTTTTTAGTACAACGGACCAAGTGATTCCTTTGCCTTCTTCAGCACATGCCACTTGCACCATCAGTGAGCTGCTCCAGGCATCACGTTCTTTATGGCAACCTCCATTGCCCTGTTTTGATCTGAAAAGGTATGAAGGTTCACCGCTATTAGCATATTATAATTACGTACAACAAACGAGAAACTGATATAAAACAGAATACCGTGCCTTACCTGTCAAGGTTGCTTGCGGCGCAGAACCACCTATTATCCTAACAAATTCGGAGAAGACCCCAGCCAGTATAATGCTCTTGAAGCGATTGTTCACCCCCACAAATAAACTAAAAGGCATGTCATACAGGTTCGTCCGGTAGGTCGTATCAAAGGTGACAACATCACCAAAAAAATTGTACTACGGCCTGCTGTTGCCCGTTGCCCACATCAGAGTGCTGATTCGGCCCTCGCTGTCGGCCTGTACTCGATACGTGAACTGTGGGTCCTGCGCACATAGCTCTTGGAACACTTCCATTGTTTTCTTGACATCATCCTCGGACTGCTCACGGCTTATCTTTCCACACAAATCCTGCAATGCTCTTTTTGTAAAAGGTACATTCTCCATCTTGCCAAAAAGCTCCCGATGATGCCGTACACCTTGGCAAGGTTGACACTGTTTTGCCGTAGCTGCTTGACAAGGTCCCTGCTGTAAACATAAATATGGCCAGTGCAGTGTCTGACCGTAAGTTTGCGTGAGTGCATGGTTATGTTTACATCCCCATGTTCAGCTATGTACCATCCATTATCCTTGGACCGCAACAATCTTATGAGAGCTGGACATTCACAGCGGCAAGAACGTGTATTTTCTACCATTGGCTTACCCTGTGGACACAAAATAGAAAGGCATATTCAGTCAAGTTCCTGCGAATTTTCACTCACAGGCATCTACTAAAAAATACTGGTTAGTTCACTATGCATTTGCCATACCGCACATCCACAAATTATCTCTTGCATGCACTTTGTCAGGTTCACATTTAGCCTGCTCTTTCCATATCCTATGCCAAATCCTTTCTCCCATGAATACAAATTGTAGAAGTCGTAGGCCTCACCAAGTGTGTCGAAACTTGTCCCTATCTTTGGCACAATGGCAATGTCTCCTGGCTCCTCTGCAAATTGCCGTACGGTTTTCTCCAGAGCTGTCACCCTGCCAGGGCAAGGCCTAGAGCTGAAGCACCGACCCGCACTCTACCAGCCATTCCAAAAGAAAAGAGCATTTCAGTGCGACTGATCAACGACTGCGTCACTTGTTAGGCAAATACATTTCCATAATACACCAGCAAAGGTAGATTCAACGACAACTCAGTGATCATCATGAGCGGATGACAAGTTCGACGAATTTTTGTCATGCTAAAATTTTCTACTGTAATTTGTTTCTACACAAAGTGAACATGCTCCTCAGGCGCATCAAGCAGTGTGTTCTGAATTACATAGCTACGACAAGGTTCCAGTCTATGCCTGTCATACTAAATGAAGATCAATTTCAGTCTGCAAATCAGTATTACCTTTGTGTCCAGCCTGGAGTCTTTGGGTCCAATTGCTCTACAGAGTGCTCAGAACTCTGAGCCTTCCCTGCACTCCCAGGATCAGCAGCAGCCTCGTCACGACAGATCTGCCCGCCCGCACTAGAAACTTGCGCTGCTGGCAGCTCAATCTCTGTCCGAGAGGTGACTGGGAACCTCACGGGCTCCATCGTGTTGTTGTTCTCGTTCACCTCCTCCAGCAGAGTTCTAATCAATCCAGAAGCAGATTGCATCACAATCACAATCACCCACAAAAAAAAGATTCAAATCGACGGGGAAGAAGTCTGCATCGGACAGATCCTAACCTGTTTATCGGTTGCATCAAGAACTCCATGGCAGCCGCCGCACGCGTGATCTTGCTGCACAGCGGAATCACCGTCGCCGCAATAGATTTTCCCCGCCGTATAGCCGCCCTAGATGGAGCCCTAATCCAACTTCACCCCCCACAACCAACCCCCACCCAAGGCCCACCTACTGCATTTACTGTCTCTACTGCCGGCGCTAGCGGAAAGCTCCTGATCTGGTCCACGGATCAGACCGGCGGCAACGTCTCGAGCCACGGCTCGGAGCTCGCTCCGTCGACGCCGTCGCAATGTCCGTGCATTGAGGGCCCACTCGTCAGGCCTGTATAATAAGAAAATGGCTGAAAATAATAGAAATATCATAACCTACCAATTTCCAATAATTAAAACTTATTTTGTCATGAAAAAGTGAAAAAATATATTAAGAATATTATACTATGTAGTCAAGATAACTTTCGCTTTGTATCCTTTTCAGTGAACTATATGCCTTAAAGAAACAATGGCCCTGCATGTATACTCAACCTTCAATAGCGCACGTGTTCAAAAAAAACCTTCAACAGCGCACAATAATGTTAACAAAAAAAAACTTGCCATCTCTGTGGACAAACTCTTTAAAGCTCCCCATATGTTTGGAAAATGTCTACAAAGTACATATGCTACAGTATTGAGCAAAACAATGAAAATTTATATTGTTTCTAGAAGCGACTGGTAATAAAATGAGATTTAATGAAGAACTATATCTTTCACATATTGTTTACTTGGGTTCAGTTTGAAGGAGTGACATACCGGAGCACATAGATAATGGCTTATGATAAGAGAGCAACTTTTCGGTGGACGGCGGCTCGTGTGGACTTAATCATGGCCATCGAACGATTCCTGGAGATGTGCAAACATCACTTCGTTGTTCCCCCTGCTCGTTTCTTAGCAATAGATACTAGGGGCAGTAGGTGTACAGGAATGGCACACATGTTTCGCTTTCCTCTCGTGGATCTGGGCGTGCGACCAACCCGAGCTAGTATACATGCCGCACGAGAGAAGCAGTTGGTGATTTGACCTGACAATGTAGCTTATGGGTGGTGGGCCACAACGCAGAGCTTTTTGCACATCGGGACGTGACAAAAGGAGACCCTGCCATTGTTCCATAATGCACAGTGCGCGTCTCTTCATCTAACAGGAAAATTAGTCCAGGGTCACTGATCAAATCTACTTGATTAGTTTAATGTGCCGGTCCCACTAAAAAATATTAAGGTGCCGGTTAAAAAGCAGATTGGTAAAATCTAAAAACATTACTTTCTGGTGGGCGAGTGCATTCGATCCCCTTTTTCAAATGATTAAAAAACAAATCAAATTTCAAGTTTTACCTCAGGATTGTAACTCTATCAATATGGAATAAAACTCTCTTTTTCCCTCAATTTTTGTTTTAATATTTTTCTAAAAATGTGAAAACTTATACATATCCACGGCGGATCGGTTAAATTTCGTTCAAAAATATTATGGTTTGCAAACTATACAAAAAGAAATGCCGGCCCAACAATAATTTCTTTTGATCCATTTTCATTTACGTATTTTTTGTCTACGTCATGTATGAAATTATATTGTTATGAATTTTTTTCTTAAACGTGTTACGTCTGCAGTTTTGTATGTACAATTCTTTTTGCGCTGTGGAAATATATTTTTCAAAAAGTCTACCAAAATGCATTTTGACATAAAGGCTGTTAAGATGATACTCTCTGTACACCATGCTGACTAATAACCTGGTCTTAAATGGCGGATTATTATTCAATGTGGTCACGTGAGTGGGGGAGTGAATCTGGTAGACAGCCGGGTCACTTCAGACTGTGAAAAAGGCTAACCACATCAATTGTCGTTGGTCACACGGTCGCGTCTTGTCGTACGATACGGCCATTTTTTTTGCAGGGAAACCTTAGAGAGCTTTATTCAACAAACGTGCTCGCTGAGCAGTCAGCCAGAAGGCTGCTGATCAGGAACGATGGGGTAGAGTCTAGCCAGCTCTCAGTCACTGAAAGCGTACAAGCACGCTTTGCACACAAATATGCTGGACTGTTCGCTGATCTCATTACATGTTGAACAATAAAGGAAGAAAAACTAAAAGCTAGCTCTCCTATTTCATCTAGGATAGGTGCTATCACCGAGCGATCGGTGTAGCAAGAGTTCCAGAGGTTTACTGCCTCTAGACAGTCGGTCTCCATGATCACATGCGTGTAGCCTCGTAGTGTTGCAAGTAATACTCCTTCCTTGAGCGCTAGAGCCTCCGCTATGAGAGGATCTGTCACCCCAGGGATCGGCTTGCACCATGCACCCTTGAAGCCCGATGCCGAACGAGCGACGCCGCCCGCCCCTGCGTTGCCATCATCAAGATGTGTAGCAGCGTTGGTGTTGATTTTCATAAATCCATCGTCGTGCGGCCGCCATCCAAAACCTGGCAGCATAGAGACTTGCTGCTTCGGTAGCTCAAGTAGAGCTAGATCCTCGCGTATCCGTCTTACAGAAAAGACAGGATCAATTCCATCCCGTTCGTGCGTGAGCCGATTGCGGGATGTCCATATTGCCCACATCACCGTGACTAGGATCGCTCTTTCCTTCTCAGAAAAGCGTTGATCACATAAAATGTCCTTGCGCCATGTGTGTGGGTGCAGCCTTGGCAAGTTGATGTCGAAGAGCAGCCGAGTTTCCTCCCAGAACCGGCGAGCATGTGAACAAAGCATAAGTGCATGCTCCAGATCTTCTTCTTTTGCCAAACAAACCTTGCATGTGCTAATCTGCTTCATATGGCGGCGTTTGATGGTGCACTCGTCCGGTAAAATTCCTCTCATCACACGCCACCAAAACACCTTGACTTTTGGGACTACTTTGAGTTTCCAAATGGCATTCCACACATGTTGTTGATCCACTGAAGTGACGGTAACTTGCCCCTCATCTAGAGCCTGTCGCTCCTTTTGATTCACGAGAGCACGATACGCCGATTTAACAGAGTAAATGCCTGACTTCTCAAAGGCCCATGCATAGGTATCTTCGCCCCCGCCGTGCCGCAACGGAATGTTCAAAATGGCTGCTGCATCCGGCGCGATGAAGATCTCCCGAACCTGCTCTGTCCGCCATGTCCAGTTCAGTGGGTCTATCAGTTCACTCACGGTTTCCACCGTGGTGTTAGCTGGGCGGAACAAAGGAGACATCTTGATGGTGGAAGGAATCCATTTATCCTCCCAAATTGCTATGGACGATCCATCGCCTACTCGTTTCACCAGACCAGCCTGCAATGCTTCACGACCCGCCACAATTGCCCGCCAAGTGGCTGATGAGGACTTGGGAACCGGGGCATGTAGGAAATCTGTGTCTGGGAAATATCTTCCTTTCATCACCTTGGCACATAGAGAGTTCGGATTCATCATGAAACGCCAACCATGTTTCCCTAGTAGAGCCAAGTTAAACATACGGAGATCGCGGAAACCCATTCCGCCCTTGCACTTCGGCGTGGCCAGCTCGTCCCAGGCAATCCAGTGCAAGGATCGCTTATCTAGGGAGCTTCCCCACCAGAACTTCGCCATGCTGGACGTGAGGCCTTTGCACACCTTCTTTGTCAGAAGGAAGCAGCTCATGCTGAATGTAGGAATCGCCTGAACAATAGATTTGATTAATGCTTCCCGGCCAGCGCATGCAAACAAACGCTCGGACCAGCCTTGCATTTTCCCCCTAGCTCGGTCGCCCAAATGTTCAAACGTTCCACTATTGATCTTGCCAATGGCAGTAGGTAGGCCAAGGTATCGCTCTGAAAACGCTTCCACTTGGACACCTAGCAGTTGCTTCAAAGTTTGCCTGAGGTCTGTAGGAGTATTCGGACTGAAATAAATGGCACTCTTGCTTCTGTTTACGCATTGTCCGGAAGCATCACCATAGATCTGCAGGATCTGATTAAGTCTTGTTGCACTCTCCGTGTTCGCCTTGATGAAAATAAGGCTATCGTCGGCGAACAAAAGATGGTTCACCCATGGGGCTCTGAAGTTTACTCGAATACCTCTGTCAACATAGTTGCCATAGTTCTTCAAGAGAGACGAGAAGCCCTCGGCACAAAGGAGAAACAAATATGGAGATATTGGACATCCTTGCCGAAGTC